ACAACACTCTAGACAAACACCTTTTAGGCACAAAGGTTTCACACACACACACACACACAGAAGGAGGGAGGGAGGGAGAGAGGGAGAGAGAGAGAGGGAGGGAGAAAGATGTTATGATCACCCCAAAAGTACCCTTAACCTGGTAAGGAAGGCCTGCTAGCAAAGCCTCGGTGTCAGTATTGCAGAACTACTTCCCCACTCTTTTCCTGACCTTCTTGAGTGAAAGCATATGCCCGCAGCTAAAGGCTCGTGTTTGAAATCTTTTTAGCCCTTGTAGCAGAAAGCTAGGGTATGTTTTTTCATAAGTTCTGGGCCGTACCGTGGCACTAGGACGTGGCTCTTCGCACTTTTGCTCGACGCTGCGTTCTAGTGTCACACTCACAAGCACCCCTCTATCGAATCGATGTTAAATTTACAGCTGGTCTGGCGGTGAACCCAACCTTGATGTCAAACAATTGGCGGAACGTGCACGAATCCACACCTCTCAGTTGGCTCAGCTGCCCTTTTCGCCCCATCCTTTGCCTGAGTTCAGACCGCACGTCGGGTTCCCAGGATTTTCCAAGCCCCTGTCTTCAGGAATACGCGCACATCATGTTTGGACACATCGCATATAATTTCGGTTCAGTCTCCTGATGAAGGCTTTTGGGGAGTTCTGGGTGCTTGTGTCAGGCAGGGGTTCAACAGCAGCAGAAACTTCCAAGACTAGAACAAACAACCCATGGATGCAGGGACTTAGCAGACTTTTGATAAGGCACTACAGCGCACGCTTCTGCTGACAATGTTCGATTTGAGATTTGAGGAAGCTGCGAACCCGGTCGCAGCTACACGTCGAAAATGATGAAAATGTTCTGAGATTTGAGGTTTCTGACTAAAAATTACCCTCTTAATTACCTTGGAGATATGGTGATTGGATATGGATTCTGGGGGGTTACCTAGTAGGTTGCACATGGACTGTTTTGAGAAAGTCTCATGCCTGCTTCGCATATTGAAACATGCTGAACCTAGGAGAACTATAAGGTCCAACTAGCTGTAAACCTCAACTGGGTACCTCTAACCATGTCTAACTGGCCACGAACCTTGATGCAAAGACCTCATTGCCACAAATGAAGAATCATAGTTTCAGGTTGGGAGTTGCAAGGTGGGTATCCTTAGGTAGAGTGCTCACGGTTCTCACGGATTTGCACCTGGAAATGCACCGCAACACACAGACCAGCGCGGCTGGGATGTGGAATGATGGTAGCATGCTATACTTCACGTGATGCACGACGACCAACATGTGGGCGGCATCTTAGATCGTCGAAAGCCTTGTCTAGAACTCCATAAGAGAAGTCACCCTTAAGGCACGATCCCCAAAACTTTCACCCTAAAAAAAAATTCCAGAAAGCGGGCGCCCAAATGTTGACTCAAGAAAACCAGAATCCGTATTATAGGAGTCTCAAAGTACAGAGCCCATAACGTCCATAAACTCTAAGTCAAAACCTTATAATCTAGAACCCACTTTCGAAACCCTTGGCCCTGAACCCCAAAATCCTCCCAAATCACCCTAAAACCTTAACCTCCCTCTTTTGAGATACAGTGATAAACAGCAATTACCCAACACTCCTTACATAGTTAGAACACAATTTACCAAAAGCCTTATTCCAAAATCGTACATAGGCTCCATTTATCTTGCGGTCTGACTGGTTTTCCTGAATTTTGAGCCTGGCCGCCCCATCCCTTGTCCCAGCCCTTGCCCCCCCAACCGCCATAGCCCGAGGTCATCCACAGCCTGGGATCACATTCAGATTGGGGCTTAAGAGCTTGAGGAGTTTAAGGCGTATATAAGGCTTCAGGACTTGCATAAGGTTGAAAAATGGGCCATCTTGGGACTGTATTCTGTCTGCACCACCATTGAAGGGGAGGATTTGAGGTGAGATGATCGTGAGATCGTTCTTAATGTGGCGGCAAAAGGTAAAGCAGGTAAGGATTATGAAGAGATTGTGGGAATAATTTGGGTTATATACTATGTCGAAAACCGCCTACCATCTTCGGGTCAAGCATCGCAATGGCTTCCGCTTTCCTGAACCCTGAACCTTGACAAAATGCAAATTACATTTTTCATACGGAGCCAAGTACATGCCAGGTCTTGGGGTTTAGGGGTATCGTCCGCATGCCTCACAACGCAGGTGCCTTCGAGAAGCGTTTTGGGGATCTACTGTATCTTGTTTTGGCTTTCTGGAGGCTTCTGGGTGCCACGCTTTTCAGCTTCCTTGTTGGGGCTTCTGCTGCGCTCAGCAAACTCCTCCATCTCAACATACGGTGGCTTGGGAATTTTTTGCTGGCTGGCACTCCCTGTCCAGCTGCATACTTTTGTAATTCAACAACTAAGCAGTGTCCTTTCGGTGGTTGAACAAAGTGAGATTTCGTTCTTCTTAGAACACCATGCTCTGAAGGAATATCTAATCTTGCCCGAACCCTAATCAACTAGAAGGACCAATTGAAAATGCTACTTTGGTCCAGAAGGTTCCTTGCGTGGCATGGTGAACACTACAGATTCGACCTTGGCTTTACAGCACTCATGCTGCATGGCTTTTGCAACCTAAATCGCCACTCATTTGAGAGCTTAGGTTTTCTTAGGCCCGGAGTGCTTGATATTGTAGGGGATGCTACGGGGGAATCAAGGAGTTTAGACTGTAGCTCAAGCAGCATTGCATGCAGAATTCACAGATTGACCAACCTCTGCATTCTCTGCACAGTTTCAACATGATGCCCGTTCTGAGAAAGTTGAGGCAACAGAACCGCAGCAAACCCTGGTTGAAGCATCCACGAGACCGAAGACTCTGAACCCTCAAACCAAGGCCTTCAAATTCAAAACGTGTACTTTGAGAGGCCTCAGAATCTCGTAATACTGTATGTTATGCCCTTTGATAAACTCTGCTAAAGGAGCTTGCAGACTCCTCCTTGAAAGGACATTCCTGAAAAACTGCCCGTAAACCGCAAGGCTTGAATATCCAAGTCCCCCACAAAACCCCTCTGGTAACCCTGGGATCCCTGCAGCAATACAGTTGCTGGAGGAATCATGCAGATGCCTGTGCCCTACATCCTAGGGCTCACGTTACTTTCACCGCCCTGGGTCGTGCAAGATTTCCTCCTAAGTAGTCCTTCAACCCTGAACCCTCAATCCCCCAATCCTATACATGTAAATAAAATACATGTATATAAACATCTACGAGTCCTTTAGTAACCCTAGGGTGCTTCCAAATACGTTTTAAGTGGCGGGGGGCATCTGCTGTACTTGGCTGCCCGCAGCGCCCAACAGCGTCACTTTACGGGCAGCCCGGCCCTTTTCCTCCACGACAAGTGATATTTTCTCCACAAATAGTGTTTAAGAAATATGTAGCAATGGCAAGGAGGTCCCCTTGAAGGACAAACACTGGACTGGCTCGTGAGAACTTCTTGAACTTAGAGTTCCTGCAGCGTCTGGTGTTTACGGTTCTGGGGTCAGGGTGCGAGGAAGGAATATAGAGCCATGATAATGTGCTGGGCCCTCATGTTTGTCTCGGGGTTGGGGAACCCTAAGCCAAAAGGCCTAGACCCTAAACCGCAAGAGAAACCCCTCCCCCATCTTGCGCACACAGGTGGGATCTTTGACACATACAAGGTTGATACCCAAACTCCAGAATAACCTTAGTATACAATGGTACTCTGGGACATGCAGGGTTTTAGTACCTGACCGTAGGGGGCTCGCATTCACGACAAACAGGTATAGTTCTCACTTGGAGGAGCGGAAAGCGTTGCACATAATGTTGAGAAACTCGGGGCCACGCGGCGAGGAGTACAGGACATCGGGCTGAAGAGTGTAGAGTTTAGGTTTGGGGTTCAAGTTGTCTCAGACTGATGGAGCGCATGACCTAAACATGCCTGAAAACTACTCCTAAACCTCCGAGAAAACCATTACGGCAATTCAGCTCGCATCATGTTAAGCAATTTACGGGTTTCACTATCTTTTCCCCGTAGAACCCATAAATAATGTAGTCCTTCAACCCAGCCGGCTAAACATCCCGAACCCGCCCCTAGATTGTGAACGCCTAAACCCCCCCCCCACACACACACCGACGTACCCACTCACCCTCTCGGCGCCTCCTGGACCACGCTGAACTTGCACATCGCGCCCTGGGAGTTGGCTGGTTTATAAATCTTACATAGACTGCGAGCAGGCAATCTGGGACAATTTCCCTCAGTTCCAAACTAATGTGGAGACCCGCCAACGCCCCCTTTAAAGGAATGCAGCCTTTATCGGGTACTTTTAGGCGCTCCAGCTTGCGTTGGTGGAAGGTAAAACATGCAAAACCCAAGCCCCAAGCCCTAAAAACTAACCACAACCACAAGACTCTGCACCCGCATTAACATTCTATACCCCTACATATCCCTATAACCCTTTATAGGGATCACCTGGTAGCACATCTCAAACTCTTTGGGTTGAATGCGTTTTCGTCTGCTCTGCCTCGGGGCCAAAGCCGCCCGGGAGCTCGGAGCGCAAGAGGAAGACATCTTGCTCGGGAAAAGCCTCTCCAAGGTCCCATTCAAAGGGGCTCTATGTGTATATATAGATATATACATGTACACATACAGACAGGGAGAGACAGAGAGAGAGAGATATAGAGAAAGATAGACAAAGAGGTAAGGTTCGAGATTCCTTTAAAGACGCGTTATTGCTAGATACATGTTTATGTACATACAGGCATGCAGGCATGGGGATCCTTGAAGAAGAGACGTCATAGCAATTCAGGATCTGTTTAGGGGGGATATAGGAATGTAGGGTGCCTTCTTACCATGCTGCTATAAGGAATTCTGAGGCCAACTAGTCCATGGGTCCTGTTGGGCTTCTTCGGTTGGTAAGGGTGTAGGGTTGGCAGTGTACAGATTTTGCCGATCAGGGTCTTGAGAAAGAGACTTCGAAGTCGCTCGGGAACGAAGCACGGGTCATGGGGAATGTGGTGTACTATACCGTTCTAGGGTTAGATGGTGCCACGCTTTAAAAGTTCAACTTGGGGAAAAAGTAAGGATTGATATCGGATTCAGCGTTTAGGTTGAAATTGTGCTGTAAAGCTTAGAGTTTAAGATTTGGAGTTTGCGGTTCTAAGGGTGTACGAAAATTGGAAGCACTGAATTCACTTTCTACTGATAACCTGACGTGCTTCATGGGTGCAACTCTGGATCAACTCTAGATTTCACGAAACTATATACTTTTTGAGAGTGATAATGCCCAAATAGGTCGTCATGCTGATAGTCGCAATTCCTGTGCAAAGTGCGGAAGTTCCTCAACACTCGCAGAGCCGATCCGATACGCCGTGAAACTTCTAATCAACCTGAAGCACCTGCAGACTGTTGGAGCCCATTGGGCTCAGGGATTTCAGGCCTGGGACTGCCTGAATCTGAGGGTCATGTAACATACGCCATCTGGAAGTTTGCACAGATGAAGAGTCCCTTTTCGAGAGCCCTATGACAAGGATGACGTCATGGGGGAGATCCTGCAGACTACATTTATCGGAAGTTGAATCAGCTATCACAGCTACTGTGGAAAAGTAAGGCGGTACGTTTTCTGACAACTCCACCTGAAGGCGCATCTCGGGACAGGGATTCGAATGTGTCGTGTATTTGACGTAATTTCGGAAGGACCCCGCCACATGGCAAAGAACCAGGACTAGTGCATCCTCAAACCCCAGTAAGACACAGGGCTCCATGCGTCGTACAGAATCATCCTCACTATAGATACAGCCATATCAAAGCTTGAGCGCCGCAAGTTGTTCTTCCTGGAATCCGTGTAGCATGCCCAACCAGCAGCTGCCCTAAATGAGTATCAAATGCCCCTCCCACCTAACGTTCAGTACCCACTTTACAAGACCTCTGTAATGGGGCATATCTCATTGGTCGTGGCGGGTGTTTAGTAGGTGGAATTATTGCCCCATCCAAACCACAGAACCACACCAAACAGCCCAACCCTCATCACAAAACCTCTTTGCCCTAAACACTAGACTAGACCCTGCGTCACAAACTGAACCCCAAACCCTACATATATATATATATATACATATATATACGCATAGTGAATTTTAAAACCTTGGCCCTGAAACCTTAAAACGCACACCCTACAACCCTACACTCTTTCTCCTGTGCAGTCCTCCGAGGAGATGAAGCCAAAGCCCTTCACTGGGTTGTAGCTCTTGATTGTCCCATAGTACGTGGCCTCAAGATACGCTGTAGCATGAACAGCATTTGGGATACGGGTGTTGGGCTTCAGGTCGATAGGGTGTGGGGTTTTGCACTACATCAATTAGGCAGGATTTCTTTCAGGGGTTAGGGATTTATTGATGAAAGAATTTGGCGAAGGTAGGTTGCCTGCAAAGGGCGCTACGAAGCCCTTTACTGCAATGTAGGCTTCTACATTACACGCTCAATTGCCAACAGATCATGATAAAACTGCCGCACCCCTTCAGGATGAAAATGGTTTATTCGGAAGTTCAGGCACATTGCCCTCTTTATACGCATTGATACTAACACACTAAGGGTCTCTCAGGGCCTCCTTTCAGAAACCCCGACTTCAAAAAAGCACCCTCAGGCCTAAACCCTAAACCCTGAAAAATGGGGACCCTAAAACCTCAAGCCCAAGCCCTGTAGCTCCAAGACATGGCTTTACAAGGCGCCTCCTCCGCAGAGGACACGCTGACGTTTTCGGCAAGGGCTCCTGCAACAGTGGAAATGTGCGGTCTCTTGAGGGTCAAGGGTCTAGAATTAAAAAGCTGAGAACAGACATAGGGATGTATGATGGCCTAGCATTAGGGTTTAGGGACTGGGCTTTAGGAGTTCCAAGATTGGGGTCCCCTTTCTGGATTTTGCTTTTGTCGCGAAGGAGTACAAAGCACGGGAGCTGGATCTCGACTATGGGTCCATTTGCTCAAGCGTTAGGTACGTGAGATCTTAGATTGGTTTGTTGTGTTAGGTCTTGCGCGAATACATGACCACGGCTATCATCTTCCCCACTTTACCCAAATTACAGCCCTTTTGAGATAGATGTGGTTTCATATATCTTTGGAGGGGTATGATCCCGGAACCCTAAACCCTAAAGTCTGACTCTCGAATCTTCAGCCCAAAACCATGTAGCTTCTTCTCGCCGCAGCCACAACATTTATCCCCGTCGGAGAGGCGCCTTTCTCCGAGGTCCCTATCGTAAACTGGACCGTGTCGCCCTTGCCTGTCTTGGAGATGGGGTTCAGATGGGTTTTACAGCTTGGGCTAAAGCAGGAAGGTTCAGAGTTCAGGCCATGGGTGTTTCTGAGCCTTGGGCTGAGCAATAGGGATGCTCGCAGCTTCACAGTCATGTGGAAGACAGCCCTTGGGGTTTCAGGCGTAGAGCTTTGGTAACTGGACAATGAATCAGAATAAGGTTTGCGGTTAGTCTGTCAGTCAACAATTATATAAGGGGGATTACCTGACTAATTTTTAGGACACTTTCATAAACAGCCCAGTTGCTTGGGCAGAAGCCATTCAGATCCTTCTTGTGCACGAAGAGGTCCTGGATAAACAGGTTGCCAGTGCCATTTCTTTAGCTGCATACTTCTGAAGGCTGAATAAAGGCCCATGTTGCGGGCTTCGGGTTTAGAGCCTGTGCTACGCAGAAACCACCTTTGTCAGGTGAGGCCGTGAGACGCTGCCTAGTACTTAGTGTCCTGACTGACTGTATGGCAATAGGGGTGAGTCCTGTTGTTGATACGACTGCTATTGGCCGCGCCGCCCTTGACTAGGAGAACGCGAGGGGTACTTCAAGTGGGGAATTACTTGCTGACCCTGGGAATTTCTGGGGAACACAAAAGCATTCTGAAGTCCCTATTGAGATTATTCTGCTGGGGTCCGTTTGAGACGCTTCCACACTGTGGAAACCCCTATCTAGATATCTAACTTCCAAGCACCTCCAGTATGGCATGTACCTGAAATCATTTTTGGGGGATATTCTTTGATGCTGTACTCCTACGGCGAAATCGCGTGAGGCTTCTGTTTGCAACTCGCCTCTTGACCCTTAGGCTGCTATAGTTGCTATAGCAGTCAGAACCCTGATGGTTTGCTTAGAATCCCTTTAAGGGGGGCCGAAGGGATGCATGGGATCTTCTCAAAGTAAGGGGGCCGCAGGGACATTGGGGATGTGTGGGGATTCTACAAGAAACTCCCATGTTGTCGGTCATGTCAGCGGCAGTGATCAGAAAAACAAACGGAGTCAGAGGTGGACTGACTTACGTTGCACAAGACCCTAGTGGCGACATAAGTTGGGGCTTTTTCAACATGGGGTGCCTTTCGGGCATTCTAGGGATTCATGCAAGTTACAAGGCGTTTCAGCGAGGTCCGCATTCATTCACCCTAAGCCCTTCGAAGCCCAAATCCTCAATCCTATCAGACCCGCATATAGTCTCAGCTTGCATTCAATTGTTAATTCGATCCTCCATTACTGAGGTAATATCCCTAAACCTTGGTTTGAAAGAACTTCGCCAAGGCACCTGGCCATCGCACTCCACAAAGCCCCAGCCCTTGTGGGGGTTGAAAGATTTCCTTGGTGTTAGGATTTATGGTCTTTGGGTTAGGGCCTAGTGTTTAGCGCCAGGGAATTACAGGGCTTAGTCCACAATGCCTCCAAACTGCTTCTTACTAGGCAGAGTTGGAAGAATCTGAAAAACGCGTAATGAATAGGTCGACCTGCACACAGCCACCCAGCAATTTCCTAAACCCTCACCCGTAAATGCAAATGTCAACACCCTAGACCCTGAAACCGTAAACGCTAAACCCGAAGCCCTAAACTCTAAATCTTGAGCCACAAAACCCTAAATTGAAACAAAACGAAAAATCTCCCAAATGACCAGCCCAGACTTCACCGTGCCAGTCTTCGCCATAGGCTCGAAGGCATGCGAGTTGAGATGACTAAGGTTTGGGCCAAAGGGCTCCACACGATTGCAGTTTCCTCCACAAGCCCCTCTGATCTGTAGTCCCTTAGACCTATAATGAAATTAATATGTTTAATAGCTCCTTAGGGTTATGCCAGAATACAAGCTAAGAATACTTCCTAAGAAGACGACAGTGATGGGGCTGTAGGGAAAGCATATGTAACTATGTGGAGATAAGAGGTTTAGGGCTTAGGGTGGTGTAGGGTGTAGGGCTTCAGGGTTTCAGGATTTTTGCATTCAAGTCTTAGGATCTAGGTCTTATAACGGTCGGATAGACCCTAGAAGTATCCCTCAACTAATGTACTAAGGTTCATCATAATTGAGAAGGTACATGCAGGGTCTACCTAGGGTTTTGGGCTTTGGGCTCCAGGCTTAGGACTTGGGGGTTCGGGTTCACGGCTTGGGGGGAGAACAGGTAGATTCCTAGAGTCGCACCAAGGAAACACCACACCCTAACATCACAAACTTGGTCATACTTACACAGTTTGGGGCATAGGGGTTTAGGGTTCAAAGCGATTCTTATCAAGGCCATGGTGACATTTGATGCAGGTGATCCTTTTGCGCAGGCCTTCCCCGCAAAAATTCCCAGCACGCTCCTTTTTTATCGAATGCGGCGGCATAGCAATGCTACAAACTGCTACCTATACCTCGCAACCAGTACTGTGCATCATCATTTCAGACAACCAAAACGCAACTGGTATCGAGCAACTGGTATCCATTCACTGTACCAATGCCTGAGCTGAGCTTGAGGATTCTGTGGACTTCACGGCTTAAGGCTTAGGCCAATTAGGCATCAGAAGGATACGTTTGCACAGGATCCGTAGCAGAAGGGCTTTTTCTCAAGTCTAGGACCCATCGATGTTTATCTAAACACGGTCCTGCACTCAGCGGCCTCTATGTTTGGACACTCCAAGAATCACCTCCTAAATGATCAGCCTCCCGCAGAAAGCTACAGATCCCCCGAATTTGCATTGCTACCATGTTCGAATGCTGGCGCTCCCAAATATATGTACCACGATCCCCGTCCCTGACGGGCTCAATTATTTCGATAAACCCTAAACCCTATAGGTCCCTATAGCCCGCGACTTCTAAAAACAAAGCACCGTAAACCTGACCCGTAAACCCTCAAACAAACCTATCACCACCTTTGTCAAGACTTGAAGGTTCTGAAGTAAGAAGACACCAGTAGAAGGAACCCAAGTGTTTACTATGTATTCATGTCCAATTTCCATTTCATGTTCCATTTTTTTGTCCCTCTGATGGTCCATTACTGGGGTAATAGTCCTTAAAAGTTCCAACAGCAACCCAAAGGCTTTCGTCTTTGCCCAGGTGCCACATCGATCTCTCTGTCAGCCTGAAAAGCTCAGGCTGTTGCTTCTGGGACGGGCTCACCTTGGCTTGAACCATAGGGCAGAGGCTGCAGGGATTAGGGCGTTTAGGTTAGTTTAACCCTGCCGTCCCCAGTCCTGAAAATCTGCAATACTTGGGCCTTTAGGCTAGGCTCTAGGGCTCAGCTCGCATATAAGTGGTTCAGGGTTTAATGAGTTAGGTCCCTGCAAGGATGCCATAGGGACACATATAGCTTAGGTTAAAGGGATATACAGGATTTAGGGATGGGGGTCTAGGGTATCGCCTGGGCGTAGGGATTTATGTTTAGTGTTTGGAGTGTCACCTGGATGTCAGCAGACCCGAACAAAAAGCCCGGCATTTACTGACATGGGGAACCATGACAGGCTTGGTTGAGCGCTGCAGTGGAGGAAGGACCAAGAATACAGGGGCCATGGCATGAGGGGCTTGACGTATCGCCTGGGCCCAGCAGTTTTGACCACTAATATCAGCAGTTGAGGGCTTGCATTTAAACGGCACCCGTGGCGCCACTCTAAAATTATGATGCAGATGTATGTTGGGGCATCATGAAATTTACAGAAGATGCAATCTATGCGGGGTAGTTGTATCCCTGCAAAGCTCAAAAACAATTTCCAAGAACAACCCAGTCACCGTTGCATGGTGCGAACTTGCACGGCTCGCCTTTCTCCTTGGCTGTAGAAAGTGCAATCCAAGGTGTAGAGAACGCGTAAATCAACCTGGAGATTAGGGTTGGGGGTCGCAATGCAGGGTTTAAGGGAGTTTAGGCCCCCAGGAATAAGAAAGCATATTGCACCTGAGCCCAGTCTCAAGTCGGGGGCATGTGCCCGTCTTCTTGACATCCCAGCATGTCTTATCGGCGCTCTTTCCTCAGCTGGCTTGGGGCCCCTCCTTCAAGTCAAACTTGCAGCCCCCACATTGATAAGCAGACCCTCGCAGCCTAAATAGGCCCAGGACAAGCAGAACCCACAGCCCAAGACCATATCTACGACAATAGTTTCCAGTTGCTTTTTCATTCCTATATTCCACGCTTTGAGAAGTCGGGCCATGCTATCATAATTTCAAAACCAGAGAACAAGCTGGGACCATTTTGTGAGTCTTAACCATCATTAGGGGCGCGGTCCGGTGAGGTCACTATCATTTGCCCGAAGGAAGTCCTACGAGCCAGTCCGCAGCAAGCCAAGCTTCCCATGCCCTTACCAGAGCCCTTGCCCCATCCACCGTAGCCCATCCTCAGATAAAAGAGGAGAATTTGGTGGTTTGGTATTTGGGGGTTTATAATGGTTGAGGTCTAGGTGTAGAGTTTATCAGTTTGTGTTGTTAGGGCTTAGGCGGTTGGAGTCTACAGGTGTAGGTTTGCAATCTAGGTCTTTTGGAATCTGGAAAGCAGTTGCTTCAATGCCTTGAGCTATCCGTAGTGAGACTGACCTGTAGTGTAGGTACACAGGGTGACGCAAGCCACCTAGCTTTGAGAAGTGATTCGGTATGGGGAAGTCTTCTTGCAGCATTCGCAAAACAGTTGGGGACCATGTTTGAAGTGTTGGAGCCACGCACTGGAACTTTGCATGGAGATATCAGCATCTTGGATGTCAACTGCGCTCTTACCTTCACACTACCAAGCAGGCGACACATCCTAACGCCGCAACCCGAAACCCCCAACCCCAAGCCCTAAATGCAAGAGCCTCAATCCAAAACCCTGCATCCCGAACCCTCCCCCAAAAAATGCACACGAAAAACCCTTGTATGCCTTTGCTCCCTCTCAGGGGTCGAAAGGTGGCCCTTCCCTTTTCTCAAAACTGGCTGAAGCATCATCCACTTCATCTGCTGAACCTGGGATCCTGCAGAGCCCAGAAGCATGACCTGAGCTTAGGGCTTTAGTGCTCAGGGTTTCGGGTCTGGGAGTGCAGGGTTTTGTGTTTAGGGCTTAGCGTTTAGGGTTTTGGGTCTGGGGTTTCATGTGCTGCTTAGGCATTTTGGCCCCAAAATGAAGAAGCAAATGGAAAAGACATGGAAAATGAAATGAGCTACATTCTAAACTCCCAGTGTCACCTTTAAGTACCTCTATCATACTCACCGATATCAATCCACTTTCAGGAGTTTAGACTATAGCTGAAATGGCAACTGGGTTTACATAGAGTGTTTAGGGATTATGTAATGTGGGAGCCTTAAGAATTAAGCGTACCCTGTTACTGTTTGAAACACCCCATACCATAATCCTACAAAGAATCTAGAACCATAATGTTGGCCACTATCTAGGCCATATAGTAGGGTAATCAGGGGTTTAGGGTGGTCAGGGGTTTAGGGTTTGAGGTTCGGGTTTACACTGATTTTAGGCTTCAGCGGGGCTAGGGCTCAAGGTTTGGGGAGGGCTCAGGGCCCGCTTGGTGCTTCAGGTTTTCAAGTTTGGGCTTTTTGGCGGAGGGTTTGAGGCCAAGGGCAAAGTGCCAAAGGTATCTTAAGAGCGCGTTGCAGATTAAAGCGATCCACATAGCGGGATTTATTCGGGATTCGGAATCGCAAAAAATCAAAACTCTGCACTTGTATCCCAGAGGCCTTCTTGGCTGCTGGTCCTTTCTCATCCATGGACACCTCAAACAGCTTCGGAGGCTCTGGCTCACATGGCCATGCGAGAATCCAAGTTATTCAGCACGCAGAAACCCCTCAGCGGGCATTTGCCGAACAAAAGCCTGAGATTTCCATTACATGAAGCTGTCCGGACTACAGCCGGCAATATGCTTCCCACCGATGCTTCTCAAACTTGAAGGGGTCCCAACTTCCAACATGTCATAGGACCCCGTGCTACCTCATCCTGACACCCCGCAACCCCAAACGAGGCCTGAATGAGCCTACACGAACTAAACCTTAATCAGATATCACTTGGGCCGTATTTGAGCCCATGTGTTCAGCAAAAAGGGACCGTTCGGAAAGTCAGTCTCCATAATCCCTAGTCACCTAGTCCCTAGACTTGTTTTCCCCACAGTTTCAGTATGATTCTCCTTAATGCGGTGTTGAAAGCAGGCCCGCGAACCATATCATCCCTGGCAAGCATCTTTAAGGGACTCCCCCTTCACACTTCGCCCGTCCCCCCCCAGGCAAACAGAGGCGCGCTGAACTTGCACTGACCGCCCTCCGGGCCGAAACCGCCGGGAAGCTCCGAGCGCAGTACGAAGACGTCCTGGGCTTTCAGGGCACTTCTTTTCTGCTTCAAGAATACCATTACTTTTATGCTCTTATTCATATTTTCACCTGTTGTCATTTTTGTAGTTATGTCTATACTTCTTATAGCCATGGTGATCACTACCTCAAATGGGCATTGTTGCCTTCACAGTCACCGTTTTGTATGGCCATTGTAATTGCTGGTCAATATTACTACTGTCTGCAGTTGTTCTTGCTACTATTGCGATCATTGTCATTGCTAACACTATCGCTGTTTCTGGTGTGAGGGCTACTGTGGCTACTACTAAAGTTTCGGATGTGTGGTTGTGGGGTTTTGTCCCGAACTTGTCAATTGCCTTGGAACATTTAATAGCATAACATCCGCCATCATGCCCAACCGCATAATGCCCCTGTAATCCTAAGCCAAGGAATATTTCTCTTATTGCCCAAAAACCTAAGAATAACACTCTTCACCAATTACGGGCGGCGGATGGGGCCGCAGGGCGAGGGCTTTGTGCTTCTAAGGGTCTTGAATCTCGAACAGCTACAACCCGGTGTCTTTCCGGCTGAAATGCCCCCTCTACGGTTTAGGCCCACGGGCTGCGGCTTCTGGTGATTGAGCCAGGTAAGATTGCATTCTCGCTGAAACATGCCACAACCAAACGGAGGATACAAACTTGCCCTGACTGGGAACGAGAATATCCCAAGAAAAATGCTGCTCGTATGAAGGACGGTGTCTTGGTCGGGGAAGGCGTCCGTTGAGATGAAACCGAAGCCCTCACCAGGGCAATCGTGCAGGTTCTGAAAGTTTAAATTCAGAAATATGATGGGTATTCCCGTCTGCAAATCTGGCCTACTTAGAGCTGTGGAGCCCCAGGATAGAGTTTAGGGTTAACCTCCCCAAACTACCATGGAAGCCCAGGAGGACAGAAAGTTGATGCATCCCACTATCATCTCGTGGTTGAGTAAGAACAACAGTGAAGTGATACCACCAGGTGCCGATCCCAGTCCACTCGTTAAAAGCACGTTCTATATACAACCCTAAACTCTGAATCGTAGTTTTCATTTTGTTTTCCATTACATAAACCCTTGTAACCCCCATTATCGTAGTTTCCATTTTCTTTTCGATTCTGTATAAGATCCAGAAGCCTTGGCCCCAAGAAGGAACCCTACAACTCCCTACAATCCGTATGTAAGACACTGTTCAAGTACTGACGGGAGTTGGGGAACTAGGGGCTAAACGCTTATGTATGCTTGTAAAGAAAGTCAGATGAATATCTCTCCAGAATTATGTGTCCTCGATGGCGTAAGATGATGCAAGGCATGTTCCTGGTTTGGGGAGGGCTGGAAGTCAGCCTTTCAATCCTCCACATCCCAATTCCCTAAATTGCTGATCGCCAGGACCCAGAACCCAACCCTATAAATCCCTTCAGTATCCTGTCTATGCCTGCGTAAACCTCTATGCGACTGCAAGGAACCCAGCAACAGGCCATTTTAGGCCTACAGGAGTCCAGGGCCATAGTGTTGGAAAACTTGAGGCTTCTACATTTCATAATCCCTACAAGCTCCTGTATAAACTCAGTTTCCAAGGCACTCTCTGTGCTGCTTTCAATTGGGTTCTCCGACATTGTAGCTAAGTCCCCTAAACCCCTAAACGCTACATCTTCCCTATGAACCCCTATATCATCCCTGTAGACCCCAATGTCTTCCGTAGGAAGCCCTTTGCCTTTTTTTTTGTAGCGGGTCCCTGAATTGGACAGCCCTTGCCTTGGTTGGGTTGTAGCTCTTGATCTGGCCAAAGTAGGAAGCCTCCTTGCTAAGGTCTATAGTCCCCCTTAAGTAGATAGAATATGTGGTATATGGGGTCTTATTATAGTATACCCAAAGCTATATTCTATCGACTTAAGGGGGACTATAGGGTTGGAAGGTTTAGGGTTTAGGGCCATGCAAAGATGATGTAGCGGTTACATTGTAAGACCATTTTGGTGGGTTGTGTAGGTTGTTCCCTTCCCAGCTGCCTTGCTGGGGGATCTGACTCTTAGATTTCCACAGGGTGTTCGGGTATTTGGAGTTATACGGGGCTTGAGAGGGGTTTAGGGTTCATGCGGTCCTGGGGTTTAAGGGTTTGGGAATGTTGGGGCGTGAGGGGGCTTTGCAACTAAATTGGGTCAGTACATAGGGCTTCAAGCTTTTCGGGCCACCGTACACAAGGACCCTACTCATAGCTATGTATTGACGTTTAGGTGTGAGGGCTGGAGGTCTAGTTTGGTAGAACCATACTTGGAAGGGCCCAGGAATGACGCAGGGATTAGGGAAGTTCAGGTGTAGGGTTCAGGGCTTAAGGTTTAGGACCAGTATAGGACTTCATCAGACAATATGTTTGTGTAAGGTGGGCTCAACTACAACCTTTAATTTCCAAGGTATAAGGTACTTCGCGTTGCAAAAAAACCTGAAGATCAACAAACTTATTCCCTAAACCCTGGGCGCTGAAATCTGTAACCTAAAAGACACAGAAGTTTCAGTGTTCTTGTCCCCCGGTTTCCATCTGTGTCTATTAATCAACCGTATCCAGAACGTCACTCAACGGTAGTTGAGCTTCCTCGGGCGCTCCCAGCACACGGACGTTTTCAGCGACAGGGCCCTTCTCCTGATGTTCTGGGCTAGGTTTGCCGGCAGAAACGCTGAACTCTAAAGCTTCTACATGATTGTTGTTGGCAAGCTTTGTTGCAACCTAATGCTTTTGGTATGCGGCTGTGCATGTTCTACCAAGCACCAGAAAATCTCGAATCTTGAAGATGTTCCAAGATTACGTCCAGCCACCGTTTGTCCCGCCGTGAACTGGACCTGGTCACCTTTTGACGGGCAGAATCCATTGAGGTCTTTCTTGTGCATGAACATGTCCTGCCGTGCCAATGCTTGGTGTTGCGGCTTGAGGCTTAAGATTTGAGCTTTAGGGTCCTTTGAAACGGGCCAACTGGAGCCTTGGGGGAGGATAAAACCCTGCACATGAACCCTTTAAATTGCTTTACCATAGACCCGGCTGCATCATCCCAAGCAGAACGCTTGAAAAGGGCTTGCATTTGCGTTTGTTGAGACCCATTCATGTAGTAGTTTCCATTTTCTTGTCCATTATCCCTATATAAGCCCTATGTAACCCCAATAGAACCCAATATAATCCCTGCAGCTTCCATTTTCCTTTCCATTATACCCATTATGGTAAGTTGAATTAAGTTTCCATATTGTCCTGGCCGTTGCACTCCACGAAGCCCCACCCCTTGTGTGGATTGAAAGCCTTCACGATGCCTAGGCTGTGCTTGGAATTCGGAAATCGCAACAGCAAACCCTTCCAACGGGATCGTCGGGATATCTGCAGGATAGCGATAATAGCCGTCCGGAATGACAGAAATATTTGAAGACTCTACAAGAAGTTTGGGCTCCTGCTGAGGATTCGATGGGGGCAGCTTTGAAAAGCAGCCTGCGTTGCTCCTACGCCTCTTAGGACCACTTTACGGCCCATGGGAAATCGGAACAAATAGGTACGGTGCATACTAAACATCCTGCATGACCGCAAGTACCTGAGGACTTGCGGGAGTTCAGTATCAAAACGTCAGGCAGGATTCTTTAGTATCAACCGCGTGTCCCAGCTTGTCCAAGGCACCAGTCAGAGCCATGTTCTTCAAAAAGGGCCTGCCGGACTGGGGAGTGGCGCCGTAGCACAGAACCGGAACAAATCCTAACACAAACACTACAGCTGGAGCACACAGCGGCGGCATTTCAGGCTTGGAACTACGCATGAGGACAAAAGCCGGCATCACCCTACATTGCTTGTTGTTAGTAGGGAATGGAGAACAACATGGAAACTGCTGACATGCTTTGGGATTATATTGGGGCTACTATGGTAATCCGTTCATCCATTCCCTGCTGACAACAAATAAGTCAATAAGTAAATACATGAACGTTGGTGAAGAAGGGGAAATGGAAGTGCTGTCTACTGGCTTGACTCAGCAGGCTTAGGGTATTGCTACAGGTTGACCATCAACAATACTTTAGGCAATCCACTTAGCACTGCACCTATCTGATGCAAGCCCAGGTGCCGCGTTACATCTAAGAATGTATCCTTCCAAGAGGATTGCTTCCCGCTGGCTTGTGCTAACAGGAAACAAGAAATCGTGAAAGAAGTCGGCCAGCAAGACATTGTAGTCCCTCAACTCTCAGCGTGCGAAGAAGCATGTATGACATTTTGGGGGTCCCGATTGTGGATGATGTAAGTCTGTAAGGGTAGTCTCGAGAACACTTTTTTTTGTGGCGCCAGCATCTTGCATATCTGTGTTATGACTTTCAAGATTAAGGTAGGGCTTCAGCATGTTCAGTTTCAGTACTCAGCGGCAGTGGTTACAAGAAAGTCTCATATAAAACATGTTGTTGAGAGCCCCGAACTCCAACTCTTTCTATGACAAGTTCATGCACAATTTGCACAGCTTCCGACCATGTCCAAACCTTGAACACTATCTGGTGCTTGCTGAGGCTGGTGCGCTGCCAGCACTTCCGCCAGCGTCACAGACTCTACTGAGAAGCGCAGCTGGAAATCCGCAAACCTGCAACAACACCGCTTGCCAGCTGGATCCAAAGATACACGAGCACGGTCTCTGGAGACAAGTTGCAAGTTGAGCTGATTCTCCACTTGCTTCAGAACAGCTGCACGCTATTGAACAAGGTAGGATGCAGGTAGGATGCATGTCAATGTCAGAATGCCTTGCTGCATGCGCCTGTAAACCCTAGCACGCCCTTGCTAGACCCCGAGCGACCTGTGGACACCGTGATGCATATATGCTGCTAAGCACGGCAGGCCATATCCACATAGAGCTCAAATATGGAGACCTGAAATGTATTGGTGGGCACGGCCCAAAATGTTCGCACATGCATCCTCATATACCCATTAGACAAACTCCCCGAACGAAGTAGACCATGCCATAGTAGCAAACAACCCACGGAGCCAGGTGCAATGCCGGCAGCATCAGAACAGAGGGAGAGCGCGCAAAAGACGAAACACAAATCATACAAGTGCTCCCAACATGTTCCCTAAACTCCAAAACCTACTCCTTGGCCATATGTTTTGAAAACCTTCAGTAGCCATGATGGTATCAGTAGCCCTGAAAGACAATGCCCTTGTACCTGCAAATGATTCATTACGTTCAGGCCTTTGAGTTTATGAATGGGTGCCCCAAGCCCTTTACAGGAGCCTCTTATCGGTCAAGCATGTGCTATATGGTTGCCTGAACCCTTTGTGGCTTCTTCGAGGGGCCTTGGGTTCCAAAAGGGTCGCAAAGCTAGCTACTTACAAAGGGGTGATGCAACCCTCCACTCCACCCCAAGCACCGCTAAGAAGATATAGTCCCCCTCAAGTAGATAGATTATGGCTTTGGGTATATTATAATAAGATCCCCATATACCCCATATTCTACCGACTTAAGGGGGACTCTAGTTGGACCCTGGCCGCACCCGCCACGCCAGGAGCCCTCGCTGCTTGCACAGTCTTCCTCCTCGGGCACCCAAGGGACGGGTGGACGATGCTCTTGGCAGAAATGACTAGTCACGACTGATGCTGCTACTCCTCCTGCGACTACTGCTACTACTGTCCATGACTACAATTGTTACTTGTTGCAGTAGCGTGATTCACGTTAGTGGGGATGACTCAAAAATATTCATGGTCGTTTTTTGGTGGATTTGTCTCTACAGGACCTCCGCACTTTCAGGGTGGCGGATAAAGCTTTCAAAGACCACTTTGCTTGGCACATACCTAGTTTGCAAGGCTGGCCGCTTCAGGTCCTAAAGATCAGTGGTGTATTGAAATGGCAAGACAAGCCTTTAAACCCCCATGGGGCGAAGGTGGAGAGGGGAAAGACTGCCCGGGCAGGTCCCCTGCAGCTCTGCAGCGACATGATGTTTGCCGTTTGCCTCTACAAAAACATCTGTCTACCCTTGACAAGCCCCGCGACGGCAATGAACCCAAGAGAGGACATGGCGCGGACCTGACCAGAGTAAAATAGAACTGTGCCGTAAAGAGCTCCCTTTTGAAAGGACAGTGCGTTTTTACTTGGAGGTGCCATGTTAATTGGGGGGAGTTGCACATGGTCTGTGGAACTTCGGTGCTCCAAGTCTAGAAATTTGTTGCTTTGGGCGTATGGTGTCTGCACATGTACCACGATCCCCGAGAAAAGGAGGTTGAAGGCGGATTCTGCACTTTCATTGAAGTTAGGGTTTAAGGTTTTCCCTGGTTTTAGGGTTACAGTATAGGGTGGATAAAGGTATCCACGGTTTGGGGGCGCAGGAAAGTGTCGAACGCAGTGTCGCAGGACGTCGAACCCAAAACAACGACAGCCCAACACCCCAAGTCAAAGGCTCTTAACCTCAAATCCAAAGACCTGAAGTGCAGAAACATAGCCACACTGCGACCACTTGCGAACCCCAAACGCTTGGGAGCTACAGGTTTGGAGCATGGGCAGAATTCAATGCTTGGTGTTGATTGCGGGACGGTGTGTTTCCAACAAAAACGGCCTCATCCTTGCACAGTTGTGACCAAGTCGGGTACCTGGCGTGCTGTGTACTTTGCTGCGGTACGCTGTATCCTGCAGTCTCCATACTTGTGCTTACATATAATTACAACAATGTGACCTTCTTTCTAGACATTAACCCTCAAACAACGCTTCACAGGGATGAATGTAGGGCCACTGTGGGCCCAGGGCTGCTAATTTGAGAAGCCTCAGTAAACCTTTTGTATCCTGGATGGCAGACGGATGTAAGACTTGTCCATGTTGCTTGGGTAGATGTAGCCGGACGGAACTCATTACGCTCGTCGATTTCTAGCCTTCTGTCGATAACCCTCTCAGAAGTCGAAACGCGTCTTGCGAATACTATGGGCTGATAGCTGGGCTGTTGACATCTTTTACTGCTGTTGTCGTTCTGCTCTGTAGATAGACAGCCTCTATGAACAATTAACTTGGTTCTGCTTGCTACCTGAGGAGTTTCTTCAAAGTGTTCAATACAGGGACCAGCATCGAATTAGATCCTCCACCCGGAACTGCTGAAACTCCTTGAGTAAGGAATACACGGCAATTGCGCTACATCCAGAGCCGTAGTATTATCTGGAGTGTATTCCTTGACACATTCGGATTGGAACCAGCATACTTTGCTCTCGAAAGACAGGACAAAGGGCAAACGAGACCCCCAATCCGGGAAGTGTTGCAAGGTTTTAGCCTACTGCCATGACATATCTCACGTACAGAGCTTCCAACACACGGAACGTGTCCACAATTGGATCGGCTTGGCAAGGCGGCCAATGAAATGATAAGATATTGTTAAAGAGCTACTGCTGGATTCCTTGCTTCCTTTCCATTGCCCTCCAAAATCAAAGCAATAGTCTTCCTTTCTTTCCTGTAGGGCACCCCTGAAAGACCAAATGATTTGAAAACAACCATGTGGCTCAAAATCATGAGCCCGAACCCTGCGGCCTAAATCCACCTCATTCTCCTGACACTCACCAACCCACCCCAGACCCAAAATCCCTAAACCCTCAAAACCCTGAACGCTAAAAACCCTAAGACCTGAACCCAGACCCTAAATCCCAGCGCTGACATCCTTCTAGCCCTAACCCTATGTAGAAGAGACCCTGAGCCTCCCTACATACACCTATGTAAACCTATAGAACCCAATCAACCCCACTCCCTAAACCCTGAACGCTAGCTCCTAAACTTCAAAGCCTACACCATAGAACGACTCTATAACTCCTAACCCCTAAATTGTATCCCTATATACCCTACATAACTCCTATAAGGCCCAAGAAACCCTAAGCCAACGGCACGTAGGAGAGTAGAGGATGGTTTTGGATGCCAGGGGCTCCCCACCCACGGCCAGGTTCAAGGGCCAGACCTTGAGAGCTTTTTCGAGTTTAGGGAAGGGGGAAATGAAGGTGGTTGTTAATTAGGGTTTAGGGTTTTTGGGGTTAGAGGATTTAGGGTTTAGGATTTCAGGGTTTGAGGGTTTAGCCTTTTGAGGGTCTAGGGCTTTGAGATGGCACTACTGGGGTTGCATAAGGGCATATGTGGATATATAAGGTAAAAGAAAGACGTACTGGGGATAGCAGGTGTAAGGCTCTAGGGATTGCAGAACCATTGGAAATTGACACGGAAGATGAAATGAGAGATGGGCATGGCTTTTGCTGCTTCGCAAAAAAGGAATTTGAGTGATGAGGACTTCGGATTTGGGGTTGGGAGTTTAGGCTTCGAGGTTTAGGGTTCAGGATTTTAAGGAGGTTCAGGGCCCAGGGTCCTCAGAGGGACTGGAATTGTTTTTAAGGCGCTTGCTCAGGTGCATGCCCTTCATGCAGGCTACAGCAAATGTAGCACCACGCGTCGGCTTACATGTAGGAGCCAAAAGAGGTTGAAGCAAAAGGTGCGCAGGGTAATAAATCGCTGAAGTACCATGCATGACTGTGCTGATGATGGCATTTGTTGCAATATCATATCAGAAGCCGTACGGTTCATCAGTGAAGGAAAGCCTCTAAACTGTACAGCGTTAATGTTTGATCCCGATTGTGCGAAGCTTCGCCGAAGTTATTCAGCATCCCCTGACTGGTTTGGGGGCCCTCAATTGTGCGAAGTTGCGTGGCAAAAAATGATTCTGACAATAATTCAATAAAAAGCTCTGAAAACCCTTCTAAAACACTTCTGATCCATTACCGAGCCGAACCTGATCCCTCCTATTGAGCTTAATTTAAAGCTAGGATCCAGATTCGTTTTGCGGGGTCCTACATAAACAAGGGTCCCTGTTTTGTTGGGGGGGCCTACACTAATCAGCACCTAACATTAACCCCAGGCCCTGTTTCAAAATCCTACCTCTCACAAACCCTAACCCCAAAAAACGCAGTACTTTTCATTTTCCCCGAAAGAGCACCGGCTTGCTCTGAGTGTCATGCGCAGTCGGTCACGCCGTTGAGCTGCACAGGGTGAGGGCAGGGGGGGATGAACTGAAGGGTCTAGGAGCCAATTTGTGCTTAGGGCTTGGGATCTAGAGTTTGGGAGCCAATGCGTTCTTGGAATTGAAGGTCTAGGGCAGCAAGGATCTATGCTGTGGTGGGGGGCTACTGCCATAACCTAGTGACCTAGCGACCTAGTGACTGCCTTGCGCAGGCCCTGTCTCAGGGTAGAGAAGAAATCATTACAGGCCGCAGTGGCTGTTGTTGGGGTGGGCGATTGTGGAGGGTACAGGTTCCCAACTAGAGGGTCTCAGGTTCAGGCACAATGAGCATCTCCTTAGTCGGCCAACATCGAAGCCTAAATGATTAGAATAGGGCTTTGTAATACAGTCTACAGTGCAAGGGGAGAAAATCATTCTTTCAGGCTTCTACAATACCTGAACGACATATGACATGCTTTTGTGTGATGGAGACTTTCGGGGTTCAGGGGGCACACGCGAATATGAACGAGAGCAGCACATCAGCCTTGTGTGATACTTGGTGCTGCATGACAGATATCTGACGCAAAAGGTTTCATTGGCTTTGGTATGCACGTGGTGCCCAGGGTAATTATTTCGCGTAGAATTTGTTGCTTGATATTACCATAAAGATCCATTCCTTTATTCCCTGCTGACCACCAGTAAGGTTGCTAGGCAGAGCCCAGACAGTTGATGCAAGAAATCTTGCACTACTAGAGGTTCCGTAAGCTACTGCAATCCAAAGGAGCTAGGGCATTTTGTGCGGTGCAAGACTGTCATCCCCTCCAACTACCCTCTACCCTAGCTGAAGTACCCAGTAGTAGGGACCCGATACACCTACTGGAATGTACTTGGAGGGTCGAGGTATGTTTGATGTCAGAGTTACTGCGACTGTTCTCATCTAACTATTCGCGGCTGCTCATTCGCTTGAACCTTTACAGCGCCACTCAGTATTAGCGGTAGTAGTTGCCGTGACAAGTGTTGCAGGCGGAGGTCTGACTCAGGATGCAAGGTCCTATCACAAGTTGTACTGATTCTATTCGAGTCCCTATACCCATCTTCCTTCATCCTAAACTCCAAGCCCTAGACCTCTGAGACCCCAACCCGGAGGTTCCACAGCAAATAGCGGAAGTTCGGCGGCGTGGGCTCCACCGCAATGACCCGGGCACCTACCTTGGAAACGGAAAAGGACAGGCTTTACAGGGTTGCAGAGCTGTATTTACGGTTTCGGGTTGATGGGGCATAAATACGTATAGCAATAGAGATGGAAAGGGTCTGATGCAGAGCCATGCCTTTAATTTTCTGACATAACAGGTGGCAAAGCCACATCCCTTCTCAGCTACACTACGCTCGACGGCAGTGACGAGATACTGGAGACCATGTCGCTTCTCACATGTGAGGCTTTAACCCAAACCCGCCAAAACTGCAACCCGCTTGCCCTCGACTCTGTGTTGTCATGTTCGCAATGCATCGACGTAGGCTGTAACTCTCGCTAAGTGGGCTCAGCGATCTAAGCTCTTGTGTTCACGTGCGCCCCATCAATACTCAAGCAAGCTGCACCCTGGAGCCCCAGATCAAAGCGATATGTGAGTCTATAAGAGTATCAGACCACTTTAAGAAACCTCCCCTTTTTCGCTCACGCGTCTCACAGAGTTTGTGATATAAGGCGCGCCGCCGTCATCCTTGGGATGGCTCGCGGATCGAAGCTCAATATCTCTAATCATGTTGAACGGGAATGGGATGGTGAAAAGGACTGGAAACAATTCAGTATATCCATTTACGAACGTTTTAGAGATTAATTGGACATGCTAAAATGGATCGGGATCCATCCTCCTCTTCCAGCCGAGCGCTAAGCCCTTGATCGTAAATAATGTAAGGCTTCTGGCGTTTCCCAGTCCCCATTCCCAAGGAAGCATTGAGCACGTATCGAACACTGACTCTTCATCTCCCACGAAGCCAAGGAAATCCCCATGGAATCAGATCGTGAAGCCTAAGAGGTGTTCAAGGAAGCCTCAGGGTCTGTGGATGGAGACCTCCTCATGGAAAATTTCAAGGCTTTTTTTCCACAAGTGGTGCCATATCGGTAGAACCTAAACCTAGGCAGATTAGAAAAACAATGTGGGAACCCCGAAGCCCTTGCTGTTTCCGGATGAAACTGCGGAGGGCTGTTTTGAAAATATGTGCTTCTGCACATCACGACGCCTGAGGGAGTGAAGGAAATAGCCAGGTGGGAGTTTTCCAAGTGAGGTCTAGGAAGTCGAGAGGTTTGCCTTGTGGGGCCATGGGATTACTTAACGGATCGCAAAGGATGATAGGCGCCCTCCCATACATGCATGGATTCCCAATGAGCCTATTACTCGGAAGTTTAGACAATCCTTTTAGGCCGCCTGCTATCATGTAGCGCATATTCTTTAATTGTGTAGCGTTGGCCCCGGTAGGTTCTTTTGAAAAGCTCCCATATCTCAAGCTGGCCAAATGGAAGTTCTCCGTTTTTTGGATTTCTCCGAAAGCAAAGTGATTCTTAAAGTAGGTACAAGGACAATCGAGCTAGAGCCCCAGATGTGGATGCGAAAACTCAGATGAGCTACTTTCATCATGTCCCTTGCAAATCAAGTTCATGGGATGGTTTTTGAAGCAACGTCCAAGACGATGCATACTATGCAAAATTACCTGTGCAAAAGGGCTACACAGGGGATATCTGGGATGATGTGAGGATGATAGGGGGGCCTTCTTTGAAGATTTGTTTTGGGCTTGCTTGGAGAACCCACCAAAGGCCCACCAAAGGTCGTTTACGATTCAGGTGGAAAAGGTGGCCAACAGTGGGATGAGGTGGTAGTGGTGGTTGTTCCGCGCCAGGTCTTCAGGTGTGTCCCCTCGCTCGTTGGGGAAGGACCTGGAACTGACAAGGCTAAAGGTAAAAGGCCGTTGCAGAAAGACCAGCAGCAGCAACAACAAGAAACACAGAACAAAAACTACAGCTCTGTAGGGCAAAATTCTGTAGGGCGAAAACATCTCAGCAAAAACCCTAACCCTATATCTTAAACGTGAATTTCTAAACCTTAATGCTAAACACACAAACAATGTGATTTAGGAATCCTGGGACTCTGCACCATACTTGAGGAAGAGCTTCGTCAGCTGCTCCTGGCTTCGAACTTCCACAACCCCCTACTTAGCCACAGTACTGGCTGGCCCACACTGATTCATAGATAATTAGGGAACATATACGAACGACTCCCCAGCAAAACCACCAAACAACAAATCATTGCCTGGACCACTCATTAAAATGGCATGGCCATTTTACCCCAACAATCAATGGCGTGCATGCAAATCTCTCATGTTTGTGCGCCTTCTACCTCGCTGCTTGCGTCTAAAGATCCATCGGACCCCTCAACGAAGCTGATTCAGGGCAAGCTCAAGGAAAACACATAATTGGGAAATTCAAGGCTTTGGGTACACCGACGCGACTGAAGGTCAAGCACAAACGAACCAAACTTAAAGCCTAAAACCCTCACAACTTCCAACCCAAAATAGAACTGTACAAGCTACACCCTAAGCCCGCCCAACGATAGGAACCCTCTTACCCGTGATTGAATCCTACTTGGACGGTCTATAGGAACTCGGAAACGTTCAGGCTAAACCCTAAACCCCAGGCCACAAACCCTCTAGAAACCCAGTATTATCCCCTCAGCCCCGTACACCCACACTAAATCCCCTAAACCCTTAACCAAAAACTGCATTTACCAAGCCCGGCTCATGCCCGACCATGGCAGCATAGCCTAAAGGCGTGATACCAGCGAAGGACGCCCACAGCCGAGTTGTCATGTTACCTTCTTGGGCGGCTGATTGGTTCTTGACTGGGATACTTCTGAAACTCTGACATTCCGTAGTGGGCTTTTCCGTAGTGGGCGTTCGTCATGTTAACCTTTGGGGAGTTTGAGGTTTCAGGGTCTTGGGGGGCTAGGGGCTTGGGGGCTCGAGGAATTTGTGGCTAGGGATTCGGGGCCGAGTTGTTAGGTACGAGCAATTTCGGTTTGATGCGGTTCGATAGGTTTTCGTAACAGTTATGTTACGTTATGTTACCTTTCCGGTTCCTTATCTCTTGGGGGTGCGGTTAAAAATTCTAGAATAATCAAAGTATACGCAAAACGCGTTCAAGAATTTATGGGTTTCAAGGGCCATGTTAGGGTTCCGGACCTACAGTACAGGGTGTAGGGTTTGCGTGCTTCACACATGAGGGTATAGCGTTAGTTGAGGTCTTAGGGTAGACGCAAGATTGAGGGTTTGGTCAGCTGTCTTAACAAGGCTTGCGAGAAAGGGTATGGTGTGTAGAGTTTGGCATTTACGGTGGGGGGGGGGGGCTGGCTCGAGGGTAATTCGTGATATTGCCTTGCAAGGGTTTGGGGCTAACGGTCGGGCAGAGGCTATGTAAGTGGAAACATGAGAATGCGACGAGCAAACTCTCCGCGCACAGAAACTAATGAGGGTTGCACCACTACTCGGGTGCGGGAAGCCTGAAAAGTTCCCGGCACCATCCCTACATAGCTAAAGTAGTTAGTAGCAGTTAGTAGCTTGTACCCGAAGCCCTCATTGCAGTTGTTCAGGCCCCCGCATATGCAGCAGGCACGTAGACTTCTTAGCAGCATGCGTGCCGTGGGAAACAACGAGATCCACACCTTGGATTAGAGACCATACAGCAAGGCCCATACAACCAAAGAACGCCCGTAGAAGGTTGTGGCAAATCCTGCCGATGAAAGATTTTCGTATGAAGCTCACTTAGGTAATGCAGGATTCTTCCATCAACAGTGACCTGCAAAGCTGAGCTGCAATTGGCGAAGCCATAAAAAGCCGTTCGGAGGCGCGCTTGGCGACAAATCCACAGCCTAGCTACATGTACAAATCCCAAGATTGCGGGGAGTCCTTCTTAAGACTATTCTTTGCATATCAGGGGTAGATCGCACCATCCGTAGGTTTTGGCAAGCAACCTTCTCACTAACATTCCGCTGTCACGAACGTCTAGCTAAAGCCTACTTCAAGGTTCACACAACAATGAGAAGCTTGAGGTGCATGAATGTGCAGGGGTGGGGACATATGCTCGTACTCAGAACTACACGAGCCAGGTATAGCCTTGTTTGAGCTACTTGAACTTTATAACTTTTTGTATTATCCCAGATGTAGTTACCCGCGTCATTATTACTAATTCGGCACCCAGCAGCAGGTCGTTCACCGGCCTAGCACATGCATTCACATCGGCACGATGGGCCAGAAGCAGCTCTGCAGTCTCAATTGCTTTGATATTTCCTGGCCAGTTCTTTTCATGTGGTCGTCGACCCTTATCATGTGTAGTTGCGAGGAACCCCTACATAAGCCCTAGTCCCTGGACCTGACACCCTGAACCTGACACCCTCAACTCTAGGCTCTGCCGTTCAGGCGACCCCATTAACAGCATGGTAAAACCACTAGTACTTGTAAACTATAGTTATTACTACTACTATTATTGCTACTGTTACTATTATTACTATTAGTACTATTACTAAATAGCGAAAATATGTTCAGAAACCCCATCCTCGAGATAGCAAGGCAACTGCATGAAGGGGACCGGAGGAGCCAGACTCCGGGTCAAAGGTCGGTTCACATCTGGTGTAGGGCAGGTGTAGATTTAGGGACTACAAGGTTGAGGGCGGGGTTACCCTAAACCTCTATAACCCCCAAACCTCCATGAAGGGATGGGGCAATTTAGGTTTAATAGTACGTAGTCTTTAGGGAGAAGTTGAGGATTTGGGTGTGTTCAGCAGCCTGCGAGTGAGGTTCCTGGTTCGCTTGTATATCCCCAGCTATAAGTGGTTTCCACTTCTCCTGCACCTGCAAGAAGAGATATACTAATATACTGCATGAAACTAAGTTCCAGCGTCTCTGAAGAGCATTATGGCACCCTTAGTGCGTTGAGGTGCATCTCGTGCTGCTTTGCACATCCCGAAGAACATCAGTTACCATCTTCACCAGATTTTAGGGCAAGGTGAAGGGGGGAAGATAATTACATGCAAGACGGACAAAGTCGTCTGCCCTGCCTGGGTTGAGAGCTTTCTCCAACTTGTTCCGTCGCTCAACCTGTCAGATTGTTTGTTCCCCCACCATCACCACAAAAGACCTGAGCATGCCAAATCATCAGATTTACGGCCTACAAGGATGCAGCACAAAATACACCCACGATGATTCCTGACTGCCGCCCTGCTCGCCTTCAGTTTTGAGCGATTGGACGTTGGAATTGCGTCCTTCCGACCCATAAATCTTCCGACCATGTTGCCCTCAAGCCTTACAACAAATCCAATGCGACACGTCTATCGTTTGAACGCCTTTTTATACTGAAACAGCTTTACGACAAACTGCTTGGGGTTGAGTAGTTTGTAGGGTTGCTCTGAGATCAAGCAAATGCGTGAACAGCATGGTGAGACGTGGTTCTGCATGTCGCACTACTCACTCTACTTGGGAGCCAATGCCTGGTTCAAGGACGGACACTGTTCGCATCAGCCACGGCAGCCACGACACAATTGCAAATGAATTGAGCGGTGGCCCAGCCGTTTGGGCTGCGCTAATTCATGAAATGTATGCAAGAATGAAAACGGTTAAGTGGCGGAGTAAGGCTCATGATCTGAGCACTCCAAGCCTGGTGATTCCCACGCATGCCAAAACAACGTAGACAGTGCGAAGGGTTGTGCATTTCCAAATTTCACGTTGAACCAAGTGTGCTCACCTGTCCAGCTGCGCGTGTTCACCGTTCTGCCAACTAATCCCCTCCCCTAGTCCTATCAAAACTCAACAATCGCCAGTCCACCCCCCACTCGGACCTATTGTTTTGCTCGGCGTGCTCACGTTTGGCTCAAGCGGGGCTCAAGCCCTCTCAAGCTGGCTCGCGCGGGTAGGGGGTGGCCCAACCAAGTGCATCTGGCCCCTTCATTTAGGAAGGACATGGAAGGACATTCCAGCTCTGCACTAGCAGCTGCCATGCCAGAACACATGACACCACCTGCAAAGCGGCGAAACGGACAGGCCGGTCTCCCTTGAACGAGATGGACGACGACGATGAGGAGCTGGAGCAAGCCGGTGAATCAACGGTGGGATTGTCGGTGGCAACCGTGGCCAACATTGTGCGCAGTGAGATTCAACGAGGAATGGCGCCAATTGAACAGCAGTTGACAAGAATGCAGACCTTTTTCGGGGATCGGTTGGGACAGCTGGAGGCCACAGTGTCCAATCAGGGCAGCCGAATAGAGAAGCTTGAGCAAGCAATTTCCAATACAGAGGGCACACCGAGATCGCACACATCAGATTACAGTGCTAAGGTGGACAAGCAAATTAGTGAATTGTTTGCACAGGTGGAGTTGTTACGGGGGCCCTCCATGACAAACCAGCAAGACTACGCACGTACCATGGTCGTCGGAGGACTGAAAAGGTTGACTTCACCACAACAAGCAACATCTTGGTTGTCGGACAAGTTGAACGCGTTGAGTTGTTCGCCACACATCGGCACCTACATGAAATCCCAGACGTTTCAAGGGTTACTCTTCGCAAAGTTCAAGAACACCGTGGAACGCGGTACAGCCGTGGCCCTGCTCCGAAGTGCCGAGCTGACAGAGCAAGGCAACCGAGTGTGGGCGGCCCAGGACCTCCCATTACAATGGCGCACTCGGAAGATTTTCCTCATGAATTCGAAGTGGCAGCTTGCGGAATGGGGTTTTCTTAAGCGTGAGTTTGAATTCGATGATGAGTTCACCCAGCTCAAGGTGGGTCACTTGGTTGTTGTCAAAATATCCGTGGTGGGAACGGAAATGCAATGCGCCTGGGCGGATACCTGGGCTCAATGGGAGGAGTTGCAACAAGGCGAGGAGCTCAAACAGTTGTTGGCCCGCGCTAATGCTTCTTTGCAGAAAAACTTCGCAGCCAAGGGCACAGGCAAGAGCAAGCAGCAGGAGTGGCTGTGGGCAGCTCCTAGGGACAGCTCCGTTTGAGTCACAGTGTTTCACACACGTCGCACACTACAGGTCAACCTGTTTCTCCAGTGGGTAAGCCGACAGACATTGAGAATGTTTTTTCCGTCAGAGCATGTGAATTCAAATCAGGCGCATATACATATTCATAGCAAGAATGCGAGGCTTCACTCAGATGAGAAACTCGCAGAACTATTGGGTGAGATGCAGCATTGCAAGTGGGATCTTGTTGTATTCAGCAAAACCAAGGCAAACATCGACAAAACTGTTTTGCAAGGTGGGCATGTTTTGTATGGATCCCGCACGCCCACAACTTATGCTGGTGTTGCAATTGCAATTCATAGCAGATTTTCATCTTGTGCGCAGAGGGTTCATGTCCTTGGTGATCGCTTGATGTGTGTGGACCTGAAGATCGGCATGCGCATTATGCGGGTTGTCTCGCTGTACATGCCACACGCTGGATATCCAATTGAAGGTTTGCGTCAACTGTATGAGCAATTCCGATTTATCCTGGCAGATGCCCGTCGCCGTGGTTTTTCGTATGTCGTGGCGGGCGATTTCAACTCGCAATTAGACATTGGGGTGCGTGGTGAGCTGTTGGACCAATTCTGTCAAGCTTGCAATCTTTTACTGTTGAACCGAAACGCGCCTGTGCATGAATCGTACGCATTTGAAAGCAGCCTGGGAGTCAGACGAAGGATTGACCTTTTGCTGTGCCATGTTTCTCTTTCCGTGCATGCAGCCGCTGCCAGTCATGAGTTTGACATGGGTTCTGATCAGGAACGGTAGCTTGCAGCAAGTTCTGCCAAGCTACGCGCACAATGCCTGTTCAACCTACTAGCAGAAATTTCTCTCACAATCATGCTGCAGATGGCAGAACCGAGTATTGGCTTTTGGGACATCAGCAGCGCTCTTAAACGTGAGGTTGTCATGAAAGAGGCAAACCTCTTGCGCTTACTCCGCGCTAAAGCATGACTCCAGGAAGACCTCCGAGAGATTCCGATCCCTTCAGCGAAAAATGATGTCGTGGAAACGCCAGAAGGCGTCTGCTTGATCCGCGCCAGCGCACGCCCCCAAGAAAAACTCTGGGACGTTCCAGACAGGGTCGTTCAGTGCCACTCGCCACACGCAATGGTAATCGTCCCACAGGCCTCCTTTATACTCTTGCAGCAGCTTGGGACAAGTCATGACCCTCACAGTGGGGCGCTCCCCTCCTGCGGCTTGTGCATCGTTCAAAGTGACAGTGTAGTCCTTGAGAAAAATCTTGTAGGAATCGTTGGTGTGGGGGAGCACAAGGCGCTAGCATTCCTCTTGTCTTCGACAGCAGCACCCCAACACACGAAGAGGTCTTGCAGCCCTCGTACCTCATAGGACCCCTGCACACAAAGACATACAACGGCAGTAGCTGTAATGGACGCCAAGCAGGAGGATCTTAGGAATTTTCGGGGTTTGTATATATCTGGGACGTCGGCCGACATGGTGACAAGCCCCTGATAAGACTGGCCATCCTGCAAGGCCGCTTCCCAGACTGCAAGGCCTCCACAAGAGACCCCCCATAAGCTGATTTTAGAGGGGCTCACACGTCCAGGCATTTGACTGCGGTGGACGACAAATTGCGCAATCATCGCTCTAAGCGCTGGATAATCCCAATCCTTACGGAGGTTGAGCGTGTTCCGCTCCTCATGGTGTGGCAAGGGGAGAAGCCACACAAAAGGGTGGAGGGTAGGATTTCCTAAGATGCAGTCTACCTCACCCTGGCCAAAGAAGTTGCCGCCCTCTGCGAAGTGTCCAACTCCTACCAGGAAGATTGCTAGCGCGTTGTCCTGGCACTGCTCGGACACACTTCCCTCCGAGGTAGGCACCATGACTAGTACCTTGTGTGAGTGGAACCGCAACCTGGGGTCGCTACACTGATCAGAGTTGGAAGACTCCTCGGCATCTACTGGCTAGGCCAGCTATGGTCTCCGAGCGGTCTGAGCTCATAACAAACCTGCAATCCTGCCCGCAGTGCGCGGGCGCACTTTGCCGCCTGCACACTGATTTCCTTACCCAGGCCCTACAGTTATGGAGTAGCCGTACAAGCATCGCTGTGTGTCATGATCTATGTGCATCACACGCATATATACTTCGAGGGGCAGAGGTTTCCGCCCAAAATTTGCTGCAGCATCTACCTTCAGTGATGTATCTGCACTGCCAGCTGGAAGCAGCATAGGAAACCCCTAGTGCTCAGCCGGCGTCATTGCGCTGCGCCGCATCCTCAAGAGGAGGTCAGAGCTGCTGGACGAGGTCCTGAAGAGCCTGTGCGGGGAGATGGCAACATCCAAGTTTGCATCAAGATCAACGAAGTCAAGTCCCTCCGGTGTGCAGTTGGGTACGAATTCGGAGAACAGAATTCGCCCCATCAGCCTGTGCATGGGGAAGTTGCGCACGTCATCTGCCAGGGTGACACAATTTCTATGCTGAGCAAGCAAGGAAAGTAGTGTTCCCCATGTTCCCCATGAACATGCTGCCAGGCACTGCCTGATCTTCTGGCATTCAACTGTCAGATCTATCCTGGCAGTATTAGGCAGATGCAACTCATGGACAGTAGCGGTTGCACTGGGGGGCGCTGAGGAGCGGACCTAAAAAGTGAACTAATCTGCGTGCATTGCCTCCCGGGCAGCGGACCATAATAGTTTATGATTCCTGATGAAAGGGGTGGCTCTGGGAATGATCTGCGCGAGCAACTTTTGTCGTGGCGTTGCAAGAATGCATGCGGCTCTCTCGCACATCTTGTCCAACATGGTGACCAGCAAGCAGCTGAACTGGCCCATGCCTGTCGTAGCAAGGAAGGCTCGTCCCCCAAACTGGCGATCAAGTGGCAAGCATGACCTGCTGGCGTGTCGCGCCAACAAGCTTAGAGGCCCCAGATTTACTGCTCTTAGCCCCGCCATCAGCCAGAGTTTGCAAGGTGGGGAGGGATTCTGGAATTCCTTTGGGGTACCCCAATTCAGTAGGATGGCACGCCCTACTGACCTCCATTGGTGCATTCTGGGACCGACGCCTTGCTGGATTCGGTTACTCATGAAAAGGGCTAGCCAGGTCTTACGTGATGGCAACGCTGAGAGGCCCCGGTGCCCAGCGCGGTCCACGCCCCGCAGGCGAAGCCTGAAAATTATGAAGCCTGAAAGGTCGCCGTCCAAGGATCGTTATGATCCCGGTGCCCTGCCCCAGGAGCACCATGAGAAGGGATTGCTTAGAGCATGCTGCAAGGCACGCCTGTACTTCTGGGCGACACGCGTAACAGTGAGGTTGACACCCTGAGGACGCAGGTCCACGGATGCAGCTGCGCCTGACTCCGCCAGATAGGCCAAGACCTCTCTGGCGTAACATTGTCGGTCCACTGCCTGCGGGGTGGGTATCTGGGCGACCCTGGTTTGCTGGCGATATTGTAAGATCCTGTCCCAGGGCCTCAGTCCTAATCCCGCAATCCTGCCACGCAGGAGTCCACGGAGCCTCTCAAACCAGGTAGATATTTCCCCTCTTAGCCCTGATACGAGACCTGTACGCGCTTGATAATATGCAGCAGGCTGACCGTTAGGGAAACCCCCGTTTATCAGTGTTCCTGCGGGGGGCGGGGGCGGAATTATGGTCCATTTTGGGTGGTCCTCACTATGAATTACGGCCCCTAACAGGGCAATCAGAAAGAAACGGCCATGATATTTTGAAAGCCATCACATCTATGTCCCTAAACGACCATACTTTCGCCACGCGCCCGCCTGTATGAGAGTAGCACCTTAACCGTCTCTGGGCATGCAAAGGACGCGACTCCACTCAAGACTCTGGGAGGTGCCTCTGCTCCATTTTCCAACAGCACCTGAGTAGCGCTCTTCTGGGTGGTTGAATCAAGATCATGTCATCTTCTTCTGAAAAGTATGATGAGAAAAGATGCCCTGACTGACCCAACATTGGAAACAGGAAGAGCATGAATACACAGTTGCGCTGCTTTGGGAACTATAGTGTAACCAATGAGAACCCTCCTGGCCTGGGGCTTTCTCTAGAACAGGGGTACCTCTTCTATCAGCGAGGATGCCACAGAACCGTTTTCACGGTGACCCTCAAAAAGAAACCCGACCTTTGGAGAAATCCTCACCTCCACACTAGGTAAGTATGTTACGACACACCAACTCATAGTCTTATCCACAATAATTAACAATTAGTAGCTATTATTACTTGGTGGTAACTTGCTTGTTTCCCCTACCTTGCCTTCACATGCCCGGGAGTTCGGGCCATGGCCAGCGCAGAAAGACCAGTTCTGGAACGAGCATTGACATCAGCTCGAAGCTCGATGAGCGTTGCTAGAACGGAGGGTTCCTCATGCGGGCTGTTAGCAGGAAATGAAAGCATGAGAAAAAAAACGCATAATCATTGTTTATAGAGGAGCTTCTGAAGAGACCCTTTTCTTCCATGCCGATTTAAAAGCCAGTAAGTCCTGTCGCGATTTCGTGGCGGCCATCAGGACTGTCTGCGAATCGTAGTAGCCCAAACTGCTTAGACCACGAAGCTTGGTGTTCATGTCGGCACCGTTGGCTACTAGCAGCCTCAGCATGAAGGTGTCGCCAGACAGTACGGCGCACATCACGGCGTTCATGCTGCTGTCATCCAGCGCGGCTTCGAGCACGCTGTTGAACTGGAAGTATTTCAGAAACCCGTCAGCCTAGAGTTGTGTTATCTTTCCAAAAACAGAGGGCCTTACTCGGGGTGCTGGGGAAACAGGGATTCGGAGGGAATGATTCATGTCTGTAGTGAATGCCCTACTAAAGACTCAGCATGGGTAATTTTCAAACGCTCGCAAATATTGCCACCCGTACTTCCTGAAGATTGGACAAAATCCAAACAAGGAACAGCCCTCCCTCAACTAACATGGAGCCCCCTTAGTCTCACAGGCCATTTAGAGGTTCCATGCTAGTCCCCTTTTCTCTAGGGCCGTTCATAGAGCATGCTATTTTCAAACGCTACCCAAAAAACGAGAAACAGACAATGATTCAGGCTCTAAAGCCTAAACTAATGTGGACTCCAGCAGCATCCTGGTGCTTCCGCTCTTGCTTCAGGAGTTTGGGGCGAAGGGCCGCGTAGAAGCGGTAGTTGCACCTTCAGGTGTAGGGCTTGGCGCTGAAAGTTTTAAGGCTTATGGCCTACGGTTTGAAGCTAGGGACAAGGGTTGAGAGTTCGAAGCTCTGAGCCGTGAACGCCCTCTCCCCCGAGGTGACACGTCCCAGAGCGCTTGTGTATGGTGATTCCAAACCGACATTGGAGGGTCCGATCTCCAAAGCCCAAACCTTACACCTAAAGCCCAAAAGATTCAACCTTAACCCCAAAGCCCAAAAAAGTGTTGAGGGATTCAGGGCGTGTAACCCGCGCAGCTTATGACCCAATTATGGGCCCCCTGAGTCCCTAACATGTTGATCAATTGCTTGGACCAAGGCACTGGGGTCCCTGAGCCTGAAGATGCTGAATCTTGCTCCTCAGGTGTACACTGTTCGTTTTGGGGTCTCGTGTACCTTTCCAAGGTTGGGTCTCGGGATTTAGTGGAGCTCCCAGAAGCTAAATGGTAGTTAGTAGGAAATGAAGAAAAAAAGATTGTAGGGACTGCTCACTTCCTCCATTACACTAACCCCCTGGAAGGTTAGCTTACTGACTGAAACTAGGTAGGCACATTGCAACGGATGAGTGTTGTCCATAATTGTACAAGTAAACATAGCAAACTACCGGATAAATCTTGTTCATAGCTTTGGCTTTCCCCTACCTCAGGACTGAAGAGCTAGGACTCTCCACCGCAACTTCCCCCAATCGGGCCACGGTGGTCCGGTCGGCCTCGACGGTAAACCTGCCATCCACAATGCCTGGTGTGGGACTTCAGCACCGGGTGTATGGGCAAGGTTGCCTTTGGGCATTCAGTTCTTTTAGTTCCGGCTTTGTTCTACCTCTTGTTGAAAATAGTGCTGCACGAAAAGATATCCATGGTCTAGGCATGCACCTTTGTTTGGCTCACAGTTTAGGGCCGGGGCTTGAGAGGTTGGAGTGGATAGGATTGGGCCTTAACATCAAGTAGCATGAGCCCACACATCAAGTGTTGTCAATACACCCTCAACCCTAAACCCTGAAACTGTGTGGCTACAGTGCTGAATTCTGCCAAGGCTGCTGTTGTTTTGCCAATCCAGGGGGAACATGAACTCAGACTCCGTGGCCGAATACACCACCTAGGGTGTTCAGCAACTCACACGTTGCAGAGGCTACTTGGGATGCTATGTAGTTCGATTTGGGATTGTTACCTTCTCTGGTCGGGTATCATCTCATAAGACCCAAAACTGGGTTTCCCGCAATATAACAACCCATAGGCTATACTCTTCTTCATAATTGTGAGGACTCCTGAAGTGGGGCCAGGGGCCCCTGATTTCTGAAAACCCCGTTGAAGAACAACGAAACATTCCACCTAAAAGGGTTGTTTGCGGATAAATGGAAAATGAATGGAAACTACAGGGGCAATATGGGAATTATATGAGCCCTGGACTAAATTTGTGGCATATCCCTTACTAGGTCCCCCCCAAATCCCTATATGGTCTCCTATAGGTCCCCCCAACCTAACTTTAGGCCGTAGCTCATATAGGGTCTAGAATAAGCCTAGCCACTTGAAGTCCTTAAAGTCCCAGGAATTACAATAGTTTAGGGCCCCTAGGTGGTGCAAGATTTCATCCATCAACAGTAGGGTCTATAATAAGCCTAGCCACAATCACCGAGTTGTCAGCTTTGCTGGACAAGAGTCGGCACCATAATTCGGCACGACACCACCCCCTCGACCTGGGCCCCGGAGAACCATACGGATGATGCTCTTTTTCTAACTAATATATATATATATTTATTTATTTATTTATGGGGGTTATATTGGGGGTATTAATGGAAAAGAAAATGGAAACTATAGGCATTATTTAGGGGTATAATATTGGGGTAATATTGGGATAATGGAAAAGAAAATGGAAACTACTATAGTATATTGGGGTCATCTAAGCCTTGGGAATTGTGCATTTGGTCATGTACCAAACTAGCCAAGTCGGGTCTTAGTTCCTCCTTCCCCTTCCCTACTTAAAAGCATGTTGAATGCAGGCTATGTAGGTCCGCTACTTAAACGGTATCTAAATGTTACGATATCATGAGTGTTGATGACAGTCTTGGTAACTTCTCCAGCTACTACATTGGGCGTCCCTCTGCACTGAAGAAACTCACGAATAACAACTTTCTCAGCCCGTAGCCTAGCCCAACGAAAACCCCAATCCTAGCCAATACACCGAAACTCGCTTTAGGGGCACTCCGGAGACAGGTAATATAGTATGCGTCCTTAATACTGAACCCCCGTTATAGCCCTCGTAAAACCATTTGCAAGTACTGTATGCTCCCTGACACCTTAGCAACTCCAGGATTCCAAAAAGGTACCCAACTGGCAGCAGGAGGCAGCCACGTTGCGTAATTAACGAGCTCGGTCGAATCTTCGTGTACCAGCTCTGGCACCACTGCCAGAAACCTGGGTTTGGGTTTAGGGTCTAGGGGTCTAGGGTCCTGGCGCCAGGCAGTTTAGGCTTTGGGTTTATGGTTTAGGGTTCAAGTTTGAGATGAGGCCTCAAGTCTCGGGCTTGCGGTTCCAGGCTTAAATTCGGGCCAGAAGAAAATGCATGTTTGTACATGCTTCAATTGGGTTCATACAAGGACTTGCCCTCTAAAATGTCCAAGAGACACGTTCGAGAGTTCCACATAGGCCGGAATACTTTGAACCGCCAATGCTGCATCACTTTTTGTGGTGTCTTCGTTCACTCCATTCTGTCGAGCTGTGATCTGTGGGATCGAAAACCAATCGAAAAACAGAAATCCATCCGCAATGTGTCGGCGCGTGTCGGAAGACAGGGATTTGTCATCCGAGCGTGAGACAATGTCCTCAGCCCAAACGAGAACCCTTTAGTGATGACTCAAGTAATGTCATATTCCTCCAACGCACTAAAACCAAAATCCATATTGACCAACATGAGAGTTCGAAAGGGTGACCAGCAAAGATCTTCGAGAAGTCAACCGTACATAAAAGTTCAAAAGGGTGACTCACAAAGATCTTCAAAAAGTCAACCATAGGTAGTCAATTCCCAAACCCCTCCATTGTCCAATCTTGTACTTATCCCTCGTTTTTTATTGCCGATTTAATTTTCTGTTCTTGATTATCCTTAACGTTGACCCAGTATCCTCGGTAACTTGTAAGGAGCCATCGATGATGCCCCGGAGGGCCTTTTGAAGAACCTCCACCTCCAGGCGTCACAGGACTTGCTGGTTGTTGGTAGGGATTGATGGAATGGCAAAGAAAACAACTACGGTTTAGAGTGATCATACAGGAGGTATCCATTCCTCCATTCCCTGCTAACAACCTGCAAAATGGATGACCTCTTCCAGAAGAGAAAGCACACATAGTTCCCATGACTCCCTTGATATACTAGGCGGGTATTTCTCGGTAAACATGTGTGTGAGGGATCCTTAGGGGTTCTTAGGGATGAGATTAACTTAGCATGCCTTGGAGACCCCTCAGCTTCTGAATTCATCTTTGCACCTCCCGCCTTGCTGATGCTTAAGGGGGAAGGGGGGAGTGAAGCTAGACATCCTTATAAATAAGGTCCCTATATATTTCTGTTCATGGTACCTATATTCTGTTCCCCACTCCCCACAAAGCACCCAAAACCCTAGATAAAAGGGTAACTTCCATTTCCTGCTCCATTCCGCTACTCCCCTTAAAACCCTATGAGCTCCTGTACCCCCACCCCTAGACCTATGATCAGAATCTGTTCTTCATAACTGCGTCAGTTATTTATTCCTGAGGAGACTACATCCTTTTAAGCACCGTAAGCCGCCTGTTTCCCTTGTGGATCCGGATGCCCAGAGCTGAGCCACTGGTGGGAAACGAAGATCACGAACATGCCCGGGTACCACTGGTGCAGCAGACCCTGCTCCTACTAGACTAGAGTTGAGGGTTCAGGGTTGAGGTCTAGGGCTGAGGGTCTGTGGGGCTTAAGGATACTAAATACCACAATTCCCCCGCGTATCAGGTACGAAAGGCTATGCAGGGCTGCCCCGTTATCGAAAAGGCTGGAAGTAATCTTGCCGGATGATGCTCTAAGCCAGACACTAAGCCTTTAACTCCAAACTCTAGAGCTTGGGTTCAAAGTACTTCAAGCATCCCAGGAATGGTCAGACACAAGTAGCCCAGTGTAAGCGCTCACTGCAACATTACCCCTTGTATTCAACACCCCCACGCCCCCTCAAATTAACAGAAAGGTACGCCGCAGTTTTGTGATCGTGCAAAATAGTCTATTTTGGTGGCTGTAAGTAAGGTCCGGGGTGGGGGTGTTCGATATCAGGCGCATCGTGCTGCCCAGTCTGTACATTCTAGATTCTAGATCCTCAACCTGAACCCGCAGCTCCTGTAACCCTAAACCCTATAAACACGAAGACATACACCTAAAACCAACGCCCAAGCCCGCAACTCTAAGCCCTAACATCTAAACCTTCCTGTAGGACGTTGTGTGGCTCTGGTGGCCCACTCATCCTCAAGAAGTCAGCTACCCGAACCTTAGGTTCCCGATCACGCAGGTGGCTGACACTCCCCTCAAAAGACATGGAGCAACCGGTATCCATATGTGTATATATCTATTAATATATATATATATACATACATATTACATGTACACATGTGTGCAGCCTCGTGCGATTGTGCCAGTTCGTGCCACGCCCAGCTAATATTTGCATTGAGCGCATGCTCTTAGAGCAGATACAATACTGAAGCAGCAAAGCATCCAACCATCGCGCGATACCAATGAGCACCGACATGCATAGCAACGATAATGGAAACTTAAATCCCGACTGATAGTCGTAATTGAGCCATAATTAGACGTAAAAATGACGATTGTCGGACCAGCGTGCCAGGCAAACATGTTTTGCCTTTCGGGTTCTTGCTAAGACTTGCATTTGGCTTCAGAAATTAAAGAGACCAGAGCAGCCCCCGGCTTACTTGAACCCAAAACACCGGTAAACCCTGAACAAGACTTCCCATTTTTTCTGATCCGTACATATCCCTGGATAACCCAATATAGCCCTATCTGACCCTTAATCGCCAAGCAACAGCCCAAAGAGGGAAGAGGCACGCATGCACTGTGGATTGCACATCAGAAGTCAGCTCCCCATTCCCCGGTTTGCACAGACTGGTACCCATGGCTTTGCTGCGTGATGCTGCAAGCACGGAGTAAACCTTGCAAAGACTAAGTGTATGGGGCTTTCAAAAATTGGAGATTCAGGGGTCCCTATATTAAGGATGAAAAGATATTGGGGACATATGTGGGCCCCTATTGTGGGAAACCCCCACGCCCAACGCAGACACCATCCTATCAAGCTCCAGTGATACCCGCAGCATGATTGATTGTTATTTCCCAAAACGTGTTCCCCCTTGTAAACCGTATTATGGGGACGCCCAACAAAGGGGCCCATAAGTTTTGGAAGCTCCCACATAGGACCTACCGTACGGTCTCGCACTCTGCATGGCAATGCTTGGATAATTTCCAGAAGCTGCGGATTCCGAAGCTTGCCTCTTGCAGGCACTCTGATAAACTCAGGCACTTGGGCCTAAAGGTTGAATTCAGGATTGTTTAGGGCGTAGTGTACATGAAGTTCATGTACCATATCAACCCTCAATCCCACACCGCATATATAAACCTGTGAGTCTGTCTATGTAAGCAGGCCAACATGGCCTCCATGCATACGCCGCGATTTCAACAGGAGCCAAAATGACGACAGCAACGACTTTGCAAGCTTGCCGGCATGTCCCGTGCTTTGTCCTGGTTATGCTTTATAAGCTGGTCGGGAATCACAACTGGTACAGCTGCTCTTGGGCTCGTGTAGGACGATTCTGCGGAGCCGTTTAGAATTTTGGAACCGCAACAACAGAGAAAGCTACCAAAATTACATACCAGGAACTGGAACCCCAAACTCCCCAAAGAGACAAGGATACGCTCGCTTATGATTTATGCGTTCATGATTGCTTCTGATGATCCCATGCTGATAAAGCGAGCCTCGGCCTCGCCTCTGAATCCGGAGCCTGTAGCAACCTCGAGCCTCAAAACTCCTTAACCTCAGAGTCCAAGAAGCAAAGAGTTTGCAGAGAAGTACCGAGACGAGGCCCAGCCTTGCAAGCACGGTTTAGGGTTATAGGGCTATATTAGGGTTATATAGGGATAATGGAAAAGAACATGGAAACTACCAATTCAGGGTTTAGCGTTTAGGGTTTAGGATTTCAAGGTTTAGGGTTTAGGGCTGCAACGGCTAGAGATGTAGGCATTTCGGGATGTAGGGACTCAGTACCTGGGCATGTAGGGGTTTAGGAAATTAGTGTATTTAGGCTTCCCAATCCTCTCAAATCAACTTTCTTGCGACATCCGATGTCGATCAGAGATACCATCAGAACATGCCGATAGCAAGAATAACCAGAAAAATTGGGCAATCGCCTGTGTGCTTTCCGATACATCGAGGTTCATGGGCACTAATAAGCAAGGCCAGAAATACGCGAAATCGCGTTATAAGTTCTAAGCATACATATCAAATTCACAACCCCGGTTACACCTACCCGCGAATCTCCAAAGAATTTACTCCACTCAACCCTACACCCCAAAGTCCCCAAAGCACAAATCCATACACCCGGACCCGCAACCCAAAATTCTGAACCCCAAGTCCTAAACCCCAAAACTTGACACCCCGCGATTTCCTCGCTGACCCTCCCGAATCCCAGAATGCAAGTCGGGACGCGAAGCGCCCACGTCAATTGCTACGACGGCCTGGTGGATTGGCCGAAAACTTCGTTTAGGGATGCTTAGGGATGGGTCGAGGGTTACGTGTAGAAGATGTTTAATGACTTGGAGTCTAGGGCTTGGGTTTAGGGGCCTAGGGGTCAGGGCTTAGGGGTGGGGTTTTGCGGTTGCGGTTTGGGAGTTTGGATTTAAAAGGCTTAGGCTTGAGCTGGCAGCCCTTGATCATCTCTCCGAAGAAGCAAATGAATTATCCATACTGCTGATGGACAAGTTTTGCATGACTTGTATGACCCTAAGTAGCATGTTACGCGGTCATAACTCGGCGTTTCTCTTTACCTAGATCCTAGACCCTATACATCAATAGATACCCCAGTTTCCAGCTCCTTTTCCATTTTTGTTCCCATCTGGTTCTCCAGCATTCTCATCAAAGAGATCTCACCCCAAACCCCAAATCATGTAGTAGTGCCCATGTTCTCTTCCATTCTTCTGAGGACCGCTAATCAGGGATGTGATACCCCCTACCCCCTCCTAGCACGCCACTCCGAAGTTGAGGATCACGCTTTTTTAGAGTTCTAGTCATTTTGGAGGTTGTGTTTGGGGGTCCGGGTTGGCTTGGTCGGACCGCAACTTGTCCCAAAGAGTAGGGGGCGCTTCCTGCGATCAAGCGCTTCTCCCCCTCTTGTGTTTCCCTGTACCATCATCTTTCTCCAACACATTGCGGGCGCAACCAGGCACGCGGAGCAAAGGATTAAAAAGTGCAACGATGGAGCGGGAAATTTTTGACTGCCACAAAACTTTCCAGGCTGTCTCCGCAGTTCATCATATCTGGGTGGGGTTGAGACTTGCGAGGCGGCATTCGCTCCAATAATCCCCTCAGCCCCAAAATATCTTGCCAAAAGAGAGCGAATCCCGAGATCCAAGACAAAGCCTAAGTCCCCCAGACACCTAAGCCCCGAACCCAGAGCGCTGAATCCTAAACTCTAAACACTTCAAGCCCGAAATCCGAAATCCAGAGCCGCCCTGCGCAAGTCCCCTTATGCCCAGCCCCCTAAAACCTAAACCCTAAACCGCGTGGGAAAAAACAACACCACCTGGCCGCTGCTCGCCGTGATATTCCCGAGGCCATAGAGGTCTTCTCCTGGATGCCAAGTGATGATGGCCGTCGTTAGGAGGCACCCCTGAAAAGGTTATTGTTTTAAGCATTGGAATTTAGGCCTTAGAGCTTGATAGGTTTTAGGGTTTGGGGGCTTAGGAGTTTAGGGCTTAGGAGATGCGGTGAGTTTAGGCTTTACCTTCAACCCTCAACCCTTAACTCAAAACCCTTAAACAGTTTCCCCAGACTTGGGTGCAACAGGCGTTTCTCAAGAAAGCGATACCTGACATAAACAGCAGAAATTGACGCATGACTGCTTGCTGCAGTAATTAGTTGTCGTCCAAGGGTCAGCTGCGCCAGAACAAACTGAGCAATCTCACAACAGCATCGACAGTTTTCAAGCCTTTCCAAACCTTGAAGGCTGCTGTATGGCTGTTCGTTTGCGCTGCGGCCTCGCTATGTGTTCGCAGCACGAACCAGAGTACGAAGTATACGGATTGTCTACACGCACTGTCCATAAATCAAAGTTGATGTTCACGATTGAACGCAGGCTCTTTGCAGGACCTCTATGGTCAATCTGGTAGACTGCCTGTGGCGTACCCATGAACTCCCTCAACCAGGCGCATGCAGACGTTATGAAAGTACACACTCAGCTCAGATGCCAAATTCACGGATATGAGGTTGGTTGTCAAACATAGGCACCAGCAGCTTTCAGATTTGTATGGCCACAAAGATGTCAGGAGTTTTCACGGCATGCAACTTGGGGATGGGAAAGCTGCGTTGTCCTCCGACTGGCTTAGCTTTTGGCGCGAATCATAAACCCCTCACAGCACTGTGCTGCTATGTTGCCTTCTCGCGTCACTCTCTTCGTCGTGCAGAGAAAACGTGCCAGAAACTCACCATACAAGCCAAGAAGGCTTGTGTCCTGGATTGCCTTCCCTCAACTACGTAACATGGCACCTTAGAGGGAGCTCTATTGCGCACTATTGTTCGACACGCTCTTTTTTCTTTTGTTCCTTCGTATCGTGCGCAAACACGTCGACCAAGCCCCTAAAAACTCGCAAGACCGAAGCACGCCATGTCTCAATCAATAAGCTCAAGCCCCAAGATGCCAATGATCACAATACCTTAATTCAAATGTTGCATTCCGAACCACATACCCCGCGAAGCTCGAAGCCCTAAAACCCCTAAGACTTCAACCCCAGACTCCCACAACTCAAACCCCCCTGCAAGGCCTGAACCCTGAGAATTGGTCTCAAACCCAAAGCCGCAAGCCACAACCCTCAAAATCCCAAAGTTGAATTACAGAGTAGTTTAGTAGTTGTTATGTTATTTTACTTTCAATCATTCCTAGCTAACCACCAGTAAGCTAGAGTCGCAGGGATATTTTGGGCCTCTAGCAAAAAGCTGCTCCCTAAACTCCAAACCCTCTACTGCCTATACCCCAAACCCTTGTAATTAAGCCCTAACCCTTAAAACACCCCTCAACCCCAAATCCTAGCCAGCGACATGAGCACCTTGCGGAAGAGGTGCTCAGCTCATCGAGGACTTTGCCCACGGCGGGGCCGGCTCGCTTGAACTTGGTACAGACTCAAGGATTAAGGTTTGCAGGTGAGGGGTTTAAGGGTCGTGATTTTAGGTTTAGGGCTTTGATCATGGGATCTAGAGGGATCTAGGGTGGATGGCTGAGGGTTTGGGGTGTGGGCTGTGAAGGCTTGGGGTTCCCAGGCTTACGAACTTGGACTTAAAGGTCTAGGGTCTAGGCGTCTAGGGTACAGGGTTCAAGGTTCAGGGTTTGCGCTTCATGTTCCAAAGCCTCACACCAACAGTGCTTGAGAAGCCCGAAATTGCCACCATTAACTTTGGAAGACTTGTGGTGTCTGGAAGACCAATCCTAAAGTACCCTGAGCGCTTATTTAAACCCTGAGGGGTTTAGGGCTTCGG